AAAGAGGGAAAGGAAACACGTAGCAAACCAAACTCGTCTAGAAGGTTGGAGAAAGCTGGCCATTCGTCAGGTGACTGTACCATCGAGACCAATTCTGAGCAATCTGATTCAAACGCCTGACAAGCAATCCTTCTTGAAAGGATATTCTTCATGGCCCAAATTAAAGCTTCCATTTCCGAATGAAGGGGTGAGGGCGATCTCCTAAGGCATTTTGCACCAAGCAGTATAGTTTGAGCAGTTCCCTGAAAACACCACCAACCTAAACTCATTGTTGGATCCGTAGCTTTCCATGAACCATCAAACCGACATCGTAATGATTGGTTTGGGGGTTCATAAAATTCCGTAAATGTAATATTGTCGATCGGTTCCATTTGAGCTTTTTCCCACAGTAATTTCTCACTCAAGGCGTGATTTAAACTATCTGTAGGATCTGATTGTATTCCTTTAAAAACTTTTTTATTCCTATCTTTCCATATGAACCACAAAATCCAGGCATAACAATTTGTTTTTTCCCCCCCATCTCGAGGAGGTGGTATCCTCCAATAAAGATAATCTAGATTTGAAAGTTCCGAACTTAGAGGAAAACAACCTGGAACCAAAGGCACCCCGGATAATTCCCATATTTTCAGAGAATGAGAACACACAAATAAAGCATGATTTATAGTTTCCTCTGCCAGCTCACACCTTTTACAAATAGTGTCACAGCTAATCCCTCGCTGTATTAATTTTGATGTAACTGCCAAAGATCCTGAAGCGATTTGCCATAAGAAATGTTTTATTTTCGGAGGAGCTTTGACTTTCCACGCTTGAGCTTGTAGGATTTTAAAATTTGGTCCCCATTCTACCGTCTCACACATCTGTCGAGCTAGTCGATAACCAGACTTTACTGTATATTTCCCGGAATTTGTATAATGCCAAATAAGCCTATCTGGCCTATAAATCTGACTAATAGTCATTCCTCTAATGATTTGTATATCCAGCGGATCCAAAACTTCTTGTAGAAGAGGAAGGTGCCATTCTTTAGTAACCGGATTAATTAAATGGTTAACCATCAGACTTGGGAGTAATAAATTTCCCCTCCCCCTTGCGGGCCTTGGATTATCGTCTGGAATCCAAGGATCTCGCCAAACCGATATGTTGAAACCTGAACCTAGTGACCATCTTGAACCCATTTCGACAATCCTTTTCGACGAAAAAATACTCTTCCATCCAAACGATGGAGAGTTCGGTTTTTTTGCATTTAAAGGATGAACATTCCTGAAATATCTACCTTTTAGCACTCGCGCTACTAAAGAATCTGGGTATTGGATTAATCTCCAATATTGTTTAGCCAACATGGCATCATTAAAGGTATCTAGAGAATGAAAACTTAGACCTCCTTTTTCTTTATCCATACACAATTTCTCCCATGCTATCCAATGGATACCACGGTCCTTCCCATTAGAACTCCACCAATAATTAGATATTGCACTTGTTAGCTTAGATGTTAGCTCTTGAGGGAGTTTAAAACAAGACATAACATAGGTTGGAAGCGCCAAGGCAACAGATTTGATCAGTGTCTCTTTCCCGCCTTTTGACAGATATTTAGCTGACCAGCCATTAATTCGTTCATTAAGTCTTTCCCGTATGTAATTAAAGATTTTGCTTTTTGAGCCGCCTAGGCTCTCTGGTATTCCTAGATAAGAACCCATTCCACCTTCTTTAGTAATGCGAAGGTGTTGTTTCAATTCCTCTTTTTTTTGGTTTGCTACACGCTTGCCAAATAAGACCGACGATTTATCATAATTTATTTCTTGTCCAGAAGCTTTACCATAATTTTCAATAATATCCATCACCGTTTTACACTCCTCAGATTCTGCTTTACAGAAAAAGAGACTATCATCCGCAAAAAGCAAATGAGAGATAGGAGGACTTCGTTTTGCAACCTTAATTCCAGTCAGTTTTTTTTCCCTTTCCGCTTTTTTAATATTAGCAATCAGGACCTCCGTACATAATATAAACAAATAAGGAGATAAGGGATCACCTTGTCGTAAACCTCTTTTTGGTATTATTTTTCCTTTAGGTTCTCCGTTCAATAAAACCTGATACGAAACTGAACTAACGGACCACATGATCCAAGAAATCCAACTAGCATTGAATCCCATACGTGACATAACCGCCTCCAAAAATTCCCATTCTATCCTATCATATGCTTTGCTCATATCTGTTTTAATTGCCAAGAAATCTGATTTACACATTCTATTCGTCCTTAAACCATGAAACATTTCCTGCGCTAGCAAAATATTATCGGTAATTAGTCTACCTGAAACGAAGGCCGATTGAGTTTCAGAAACTAGCCGAGGTAAAATTTTTTTGAGCCTTAAACAGAGAATCTTTGAGATAATCTTGTAACTCACATTACAAAGACTTATTGGCCTAAACTCAGCCATCCTCTGTGACCTTTCGGTCTTCGGGATTAAACAAATATTTGTTTCATTTATTCTCTTATCAAAACATCCTGTTCTGAAAAAATCCCTGACCAAAATAACTAAATCTTCCTTCAAAGAATGCCAATACCTTTGATAAAACAGAGCCGTCATGCCATCTGGACCTGGTGTCTTTTCAGGGTGCATAGAAAATAAAGCTTTCCTAACTTCTGCCTCTGTAACCTCTTTGGTTAGCTCCCTATTCATGCCTTCCGTAATCATCGGGGAAACTTCATTTACCATTTCGACAATACCATCTGTATTGGATCCCTTAAAAAGATCATTAAAATAATTTGTTGCTATTTCTTCCATTCCTCTTTCTGATTCATCCCAAATATCATTAGGTCCATATAGGCCTGAAATCTTATTTCGTGCCCTTCTTTTTTTTGTAGCGGCATGAAAATATTTGGTATTTTTATCTCCCACTTTTAGCCAAAAATTTCGACTTTTTTGTTTCCAGTAAATCTCCTCCTCGTGATATGCTTCCTTTAATTTATTTTCGATTCTCAAAATTTCCCCTTGAGGAATCGAATCATCTTTCTTTGCTTCCTCCAAAGCCATCTTAAGAGAAGAGATAGTTGCCTGACCCGGTGGAATATTATTCTTCCTCCACCACGAAATTGAATTTCGACAATTTTTAATTTTATCCACAAAAACGGGTATTCTGAAATTTTTTGTCCGATTCCACCCTGAATCTATATTTACAAAAACCAAAATCTAAAAACCAAAATCTAAAATCCAAAAACAAAAAACTATAATCTAAAAACTCCTTAAAACACACAACCATTCATAGCCTAAAATTGATATTATTAAAATAACAAAAATAATAATAAATGTACAATTTTTTTTAGTTAATTTATATGAAAAAACTAAAACATCATTTTTTTAGAAATAGATAGAGTTTTGAGTAAACATTTATATGTTGATTCTAACGATGTTAGTTAAATCGGTAAGATCTTGATTCATCTGTCACGTCAGAGTTATTTGTCACATGAGAGTTAGCTGCCACATCAATTAAATTTCTGTTTCTTTTAAATAATTTTTTTTTACTTTAGTCACCTCTTTTTGGTTCGATTTATAAAATTTCTTATGACATAAATACTATATAGAATAATTATTTTCGTCATATTGTTTTCATGTTTTAGATATGTGTATTTAGATTGATACTAACAATTCTTGTATTCTGATAGCAAAGTTATTAGAGGTGTTGTCATAAAATATCATATATGCTACGTAGATAGATATATGGAGTATTACGACTACAAGCCCAAACTCTGAAATTGGAACATGCTTTATGAACATCAAAAACATCTGCTGACTTCGTGAAAATATTGAAGAGAAATCAATAAGAAATAAGGATTAGACAATTCACTTTAGATGATTGTCAGATTAGGTCTCGAGAAGAATCGGTAGGAAAAAAGTTGACTCATTAAAATGTATATGAATATATATGTTTTTTTCCTCTGAAATCAATAAGTCAACAAAAATTAACAATATGAAGATATTTATAAGACCATTGGCATCATACTTTAAATTAGTTTCCAAAATTTATACTATAAATAAATCTAAAAATAAATTAGTAACTAATAGTTAAAATATTTTCAACAAAATGTTCAAATATTATAAATATTTTTAACTTGCTAAAAAATATTCACGGATCATGTGATCACATGGAGAAGGTTAGAGTTTACATATATACGATTATGTATATAGGTTTTTACGAGTTTATCTACTAAGACACACAAAATATATTAGTCCGATATAAAACGACTTAAATGAAAGGTATTACACTAATAATAATCCTCCTCATCACACTAATACTCAAAATTGAAAACTGTATTAATCTTTTTATAGTATGGTCAAAAAAAATTCTAAAATTACATTGTGCATAACAATTACAATTAGTAATTTATGATAATCAAATTTCATGCAATAGAAATTTCATTTTGACTACAACAAACAAACAATCATGTCTATATTCTGCATGTAAACCTTTATTTTATTCAATATAAAAAAAAAGAGAAATCTCCCAAAATAGCACTAAAACAAGTTTTATGGATAATTATAGCACACATTCAATAAACTTTCAAAAATAGCGTTAGTTGACTCACTATTAAGTTTTTGTTTCAAGAGCATTATCACTAGTTTACTTTTTTTCAATAATACCACAATTTTTATATAGAAACTATTCAACCAAAATAAATTCTAAATAATATATTTGGGTTCTCTATTTTCAATTTAGGGTAAATATTTCTACCATTTGAAAGAGATATTGATTCATTTTAATATTAAATTTGTGTTATTATGGTTGAGTTCCTTATTTCTAATGTAGGGTATATATTTCTACCAATTAAAAGAGATTTTGATTCATTTTAATATTAGTTTGTGGTATTATATTTGGGTTCCCTATTTCCAATTTAGGGTATATATTTTTACTATTTAAAAGAAATTTTAATTTAATTTAATATTAGATTATTGTTTTCTCTAATATTGATAAAGTTGTTGTAAAAGAAAACCCTCCCAGGCGATATTATCGAGGAATCACTTCGAGAATTTCTCTCCGGCGCCGGTGGAGCTCTAGCTCGCCGGCGTCGGGAACTCTCTTCCCGTTCTCGATTCATTTGCAATCTCTTTCGATCTCTTTGTAACCTTTTCATCCTTCTAGCTTTTCTTTTTCGAATTTGCTTTCCTCTCGAACTCTTTTTCTCCATGCCTACCTTCTACGGTACTTCAGAGTTCCTTGACAGAACATGGTGGTGGCTCCCGGCGAATCATCTCTTAGATCTGCTCAGGTCGTTGGTATTGAAGTTGGCAAAAGAGAAGCCTATCGAATCCAAATGTTCTCCAAAATTGAAACTCGAGCTTAGTCTCCAATCCTCATCTAAATCCATGGAGTTTAGATGCTTCGTGACCCTCGTCGTTCACTGTCCTCACCGGAGCTCTCTGACGGCCACGTCAGAACCGGCGATGAAGATGGCGGCGGAAGGGTTCTCCCTAAGCCTAATCCAGATGTTGTTCTCCTCTCATGGGCTTGACCCACGATTTGGAAGTCAACTTTCAGGCCCAAGAAGCCTCCAGTCTAGGCCCAACTTAAAAAATGAAGTTTCAGCTCCTCTACCAGACTGGGCCAGGTTTGCTTTTCTTAATTTTCCTACAAGCCCACAAAATTTAATTTGTCTGCAGTTTGAACGGATTGAAAGAGGACTTCAATCTGTCTCTGTTTTGACAAATCCTTTAGTCGGGTTCTGTACTCTTCTCAACGTTAACCTGGTTTTAAGCCCTCCTCGGCTTCTCGTGTTCGCAAATATATTCCGGCCACTGCCCGATGAAATATTTGCTATGAAGGAGAAAAAATTTGCAATCTCAGCCTCATCTCAATCGAGGTTGATAGTTTACTCCCGGTTTGGAATTCAAGAATACTTTATGCCGGTTAAAGCCTTCATCAAGACCATGATCAATCAGCTCACTTTCGCCCCTTCCCCCCAATCTCGGATCCAGCTCTCATATCAAGAGTCTTATCCAAGGGATACCGAATCTCAAGCTTCCCGACTCTTATCCGACCTTGAGGGTCACCCCAATCCTTGCTTTGTGAGTTTCTTGGAACATTTGGTTAAGGATTCGTTTTCAACGTCACAAGATCAAGTGATCGTGACTATTCATCAATTCCCCGAAGCATTCGCAGAAGTGATTTCAACTTACCTTTGGATCGCTTGTGGCAAGTCACTTGGTTGTTCTTGTCTCCAAGGCCTTATGGTTTTCATGTTGAATTATGGTTTTAAACCTATCTATCATTCTCTTGCAAATTTGATCTTTGTTATGTTTATTGTATCCAACCAAGAGGTTGAAGACTTTGTATGCTTTACTCCCTTTTGGGAATGAATGAAATCAACTATCTTTGCACAAAAAAAAAAAGATTATTGTTTTCTCTCATTTGCTATTTAGTTAAAGTTTAGAGTGCTATTTGTGGAATTTTAGAAATGTTATGCTAATTTAAAAAAAAAAAAAAAACTATTTTGGTGCTATTTTTGTCAATTGCCAAAAATAAATCTACAAATTGAAATCGTGTAATTTTAATAATAAACTTATAAAACACTAAATATATAACATCATTAAATATAAAATAAAAACTGTCTCGCTGGTTAAATCCTACTATCCTAGTACACTGTTAAAGTAAAACAGAATTTATTGTGCATGCTTCGATAGTTAAAAATACAATTCAGTTTCAATTATATTGGTTCAACTAGGGAATGACCCGCGGTACACCGCATGACGAATTGTTTTCCAAAATTTGTAATTTTTGAAAATTTTATGATTATGTATTATATATAAAAAATTCAAATTGTATCATTTTTAAGACATTTATATTTTATAGTTTATAATTGCTATTAAGTAAAAGTATACCACGAGACAATTTTTATTTTATACAATCTTAACTAAATCAACTTGATTCGATATGGCTAATATTGGTGGTGTTAAAAACAACAAAATGAGGATTTAATCCGTATTGAAACTGCATGTTAATGATATTTTATATTTCTATTAATGTTGATTCAAACCCGTCCTGTCATATAACCCCGTCCTGCAATATAATTCGTCCCGTGTTATTTTAATTTTTCTATGTTCAAATTTTATAATATTGTAATTTTTTATTGATTTGAATATATCAATTATAATATTTAAAACTTTTTAAAAGTTTCATATTTATTATATCTGGTAAAATTAAATATTTCAACTAAAAAACCCGAATTAAACGGTATACAACCCTTTAAAATTGGATGCTTGTTAAGTTAAGCTTCATGTTTATTCGGATTTAGATTCATTTTTTTTTTATAATATGAGACGTAATATTTTAAATATTTAAATATTTAAATATTTTAGCCAATGTGAGACGTTAAACATATATTTTTTTCATTAATTGAGTAATATATGTTCGTTTTTAAAATTTTGAATCACAATATATGCAGAGAACTATATATATTATATAATAATTTATAAAAGTTATAAAACAAGTAAACAAAGATGATAAGGGAATCATAATTTTAAATCTTAACCAAATCTTCAAGATATCTATATTATTAATCATGGAATATTATATGAATATTTAAGACAATATCCGACTGAAAGATTTCCGGGTTCTAGATATCAATTTTGATCTGACCTACCAGTAGCATTTCTTGTAATACATTCTAACACAAGGATTTATTTCAAAAATGTTTCCGAAAATTTATATATAGGCTATATTATAAGAATATAACATTTAGGCTGATTTAATAAGAAAGCGATAATACAAGGTCCTTTCATGAAAAAAAAAAAAACGGTTGCAAGAGAGAAACGAAGAGCAAAAGTTAATGAATTGAATTGGGGATTTATGTAGCCAAGCCCTAAATAAAAAATCTTCAACTGCAGTGAAAGTGAAGAAAACAGTGAAGAAGAAGAAGAAGATGGTGGTGATCTGAAAATCTCCGATTGATCTCACGATTTCAGATCTGATATGGTCTATACCATCTCCTCTCTCATTGTTTCTACTAGTTCCAAGTTGGTGTGCTGATCTTGTTTTGTGGCGGTGTGTATTTACAGTCATCTAGAGGCGGAGGAGGAAGGGAGAGGATGATGAAGGAAGACGCCAGAGGAAGGAATCCGCCGTCGCGGCATCTTTGGGTTGGTAACCTTCCTCATGGGATACCGGAACGAGAATTAGCCGACCGGTTCTTAAGGTTTGGTGAATTGGAGAGCTTAGCATTTCAGCCTGGACGAAGCTATGCATTCGTTAATTTTAAACACGACGAAGATGCGTTTGCGGCGATTGAGTCGCTTCAAGGCTTCCCACTCTCTGGAAACCCACTTAGGATCGAGTTTGCTAAGGCGGTTAGTGTTGAAACTCCTTACTTTCAATGCTTGCTTTGGTTGCTTTTGTATATGTAGTCTTGATTTCTCTGTTCTTGTTGACGTAATTTGGGTTAGTTTCGAGTCTTGAGGTTGATTGGAGATGACATGGTTTACTTAAGGCTTTATAGAATGAACTAACTTATTAGAATGCTTGAAAGTTATCAGTTAGTGTGTCTCCAACAGATGTCCAGTTATGCGATTACCTACACGCAATTTCGAATGTGTTGGAATTCCACAGTTACTGTTATAGTTCCATATGGTATTATTCTAAAACTGAATGATTGTTTAAGAAGAACTTTTATAGAAATTACTCAAAGAGTAAGGATGTTAGTTTTGATGTGTTTAGAAAGTCTCTTACCTTGTTCTGAATACATTGTTACTCGGAGGATACTTAATCGTTGTCTAAGTTCATAGAACTTAGCAGATGAGTAAAGCAAACAAAGCTCGTATCTCATTTGTGTCTCCACTTTATAGGCCTCACACTTTGCTATATTATAAATCAGGGAAACAAATATAGCAGGCTTTTTATTATTAAAGTAAGTTTCTTTCACATTAACTGTGAAAGTTCTGTAGTTACATTGATGATTATGTTTCGATATATGGAAACTTAGAATCATTCTCTATTTAACCATATTCGGGCCATCTTTATCATCAAAATATGCCTCCACATCAAAAGTATCCATTCCAGGCTTAACCGCACAAGCATTCACCTTTATCATTCACAACACAAGCATTAACCTTTATCATTTACAACACAAGCATCCGACCATTACGTTGTGAAGCATTCAGAATGTTATTGAGAAATAATATGAACTTGGTAGTCGATCCCATGTTGGAGTTCTTTGTACATTTGGTGAGAAATATGCTCTTAGCTCACTTGAGGTCAAGTGTGTTCCAGGAACATCAACATGTGTTGAAGGGAAGTGGACCAGTCTTCAACTAGATCGTACAACAAAGATAACAGAAAATTGTCATTAAGCTTTATGGCTCTTAGAGTTAATGTTTACATAACAACTTTGGATGATTTCATATGCTTCAGCTTCAGGTCCACATTCATTCAAAACTAATTGACCCTAGTGTATAGAATTATGTTGGCATTACTCCACATGATGTAAGTTTGATTGCGTTGTTGCCTGACTTCAGTTGCCTATCAATACTTATGAAGATGAGTCATGAGTGACTTGATCATCTATATTATTATGTCTCCGAGTAACTTTTCCTACCTTCTATTATGTCATTATGAACTTAAAAGTTACATAGGATAGAACTATTATTCAGCTAGCAGTTGTTACGTATTTCTCCATAATATGTCAGTAACCCACCATGCGTTCGACGCCTTCATTCCCATCTTTACCATGTTTCATGATATGCCTACTGTCCTATGCAACTTGTCAATGCCAAACAGACACATGCTTTTAAAATGGTTGCCTATTTATAGACATTGGATTAATTGATTAAAAGCAGAATTTACTCTGTATGTACCAATTCCAGCTTACTAGCCAATAAAATTGATCATTGCTGCCTTTGAGATTATACAAGAACTTGCAGGGCCAAATATCTTAAGTTGTGTTTATGACATGTTTAAGTTTTGCCATGATTGCATTGTGGTCATGTCTTAAATTCTCCATTGCTATTGATGATGTTTAAAATTGAGGAGCTAGATTCTCTTTTCTGTAATATGTTTAGGATTGGCCTATTGTCTGATACCTCAATATGTTACCTGCATATTGTAACTTACACATTGCAGGGATATTCTTTAGCTCAAATTACTTACCATATGCTGCTCTTCCTTCCTTAGAAAGACTTCTTGCTGATAACTAATACTCGAGAATTTATTATACTTTTTCAGTGGTTAATAGTTTAAAGACTTGATATCTCCTGTATATGGTAGATTATTAATGCATAGTAGCTTTTAGTAACTGTGACGCAGAAGTGTCTTATCTGTTGCACAGTGATTGTTGCCTGGTGATGAAATTTCCCTTTGATTAGCTTTTCATTTAGAGCCTATCGAATTTCCATCAACATTGTTAGCTTTTGTTAAATGTCTATTCTTATTGTTTGAACGATGCACTTCAATGTTTCTTTTAGCATCACATGCATTACAATGTTTTTCATTTTTTGTTCAATGTTTTGTTTGCTTGTTTAAATTGATATGAGTGATATGAAAGCTATCTTTTTAGCATAAAGTGTACTGGTAATTTCAGAAGACCATCAAACATCAATCCTATTTCAGGTTCTACCTTTAAACTTGCATTTCTTTCCATATTGCTAGTGGCAAAGGGTATTCTTCTTGTATGGGAAAAAGCTGTGTATCATGTCGGCTTTATCCTGGAGCATAATGGGTCGCTATAGAGAATAGTTTTACATAATTGCTTTACAACCAATGCTAGCTATTCCTCTCAGTTACCTCTTTAAATGACTCAAAAACGAGTTGGCACTGAAGCTGATCATTTTTTTTGGGGCCAATATGGCTATTCTAAAATTGAGAACCTTTTTATGCTTGATCATGCAGTGAAGTAGGCCGTTGGTTAATGCTTCTATCTTTGTGATACTGTATATCGCAGGAAAAGTCATCAACTGGATCACGCACAGAAGATATATTTCGCCATGATGAACAGCGGTCTGCAGCAAGAGGGTCTTCTTTTGTCCAAAAGGACTCCAGGATGCTTTATGAGAGCCCAGACACATATAGCAAATCAAAAATGAATGATAGAAATGCAGAACCCAGTGAGGTACTATATATAGGGTTTCCGGCTTCGTTGAAAGTAGATGATGCGCTCTTGAGGAACGTCTTTTCTTCGTTTGGAGAAATAACCAAGGTCACGGTATTCCCCGGCCGCAGTTATGCATTTGTTCAATTCCGAAATCTGATGGCAGCTTGTAAGGCGAAAGAAACTCTTCAGGGAAAGTTGTTTGGCAATCCTCGAGTGCATATTTGTTTTGCAAAGAGTGAACCTTCCTCATCTAGCAGTGGAAGGGGTCCATCGAGTAGATCACTCTCTCCGCCTTACAGATCTGTTGATCGACTGGGATCTTCAGAAGGTTATCTTCAGGATAGAAATTATGGAAGCATCAGCAGAATTCCCAGTGTGAGGGAACCACATTACATAGCAGATAGGGATTTGGAAGATTCTGAAGATTACATGTTTGACAGGAAACGAGTCTCAAGGAACGATGGAGGTCCTGCATATGGAAGGTCGAGATCTACACATAGATTTCCTCAGGATATGCATGAATATCATGGTAGTCCTAGGGAAATGGGTTCGGCATTCCGTGATGATCCTCACAGATTCCAGTCAAGGAGTTCAGTGTATGAAGAGCCATGGGATTTACCCGAAGATGACTACTACTACCAGGAAACCAAGAGACAGAAGTCAAGATCCGTGCAGCCTGAGAGGCAGCTCCCAGGGCATCAGCTATCTGGTATAGAGCAAGAAAGACGCCCTTTTTCAAGGGCATCTGCTGATTTTTCCCCAAAAGATGCATTCGAGCGGAACTATGAGGCTGGACAGCTACGATACAAGCAAACAGTTGAGCAGCCGTTAAACCTGGCTATAAGGAACGGGGACAAGAGTAGCTTACGAGAACCACATGACGAGTTAATGGGAGGTTATGCTCTGCCATCAATTGTCCCTGAAAGAAAAAGGCACACCCCTGAACTGAATCGACCATCACTAAAGGACTGGAACTGGGAAGGGACTATTGCAAAGGGAGGGAATCCCATTTGTCGAGCTAAATGCTTTCCTGTGGGCAAAGTGATGGACATGATGCTGTAAGTAGCTTTAAGCCTTTATTTTTCTGTATTTCTTGTTTCGATTGGCCCTCTATATTTGGCTTGAAATCATTCAACCAAGTACAAGTCAAATCCTTTTGTGTATTGGTTTAAGTCTGATGTGATCCATTGATTAAGTTTATGTTCTTTTTGTATGTTGTTTTTAGACTTCTGATGAAATTCATTTTTAATGCAGGCCTGAGTATGTAGATTGCACGGCAAGAACTGGTTTAGACATGCTGGCCAAGCATTACTACCAATCATCTAAAGCATGGGTGGTTTTCTTTGTTCCTGGAAGTGATGCTGATATTGTGTTTTATAATGAGTTTATGCATTATCTGGAGGAGAAGCAACGTGCAGCTGTTTCTAAATTGGATGACACAACAACATTGTTCCTCGTGCCTCCATCTGATTTCTCCGAGAAAGTACTTAAAGTTCCTGGGAAACTTAGCATCTCTGGAGTTATTCTACGTTTAGAATGTGGTGGTTCTGGATCTGGGCCTGTCCAACAGCAAGGTGAGAGAAAAGATCCAGACTTGTTAACCTATTATGCTGAAACATCATATGCAGAAGCTAGCGGAGCTTTTCCTGATGTTGGAAACCCACGTATTCCGGGTCCAACAGCATTTTTGCGTAGTGCGGGTCGTGATGGTCAAAGTGCATCTTTGGATCCATACATTGAGAGCAAGCATGATCAGTTGAGTCACAGGTATTCTGGATCGGACTGGCCGCCTCGTGATACCAACCCCAGAAGTTCACAGATGCAACCCTTCATAGATAAAAATACTGTTCAAGAACATAGCGGGTTTGTTCCTGGGAAGCAGCAAAATGCAGATCTTAGTCGTTATCATGATACGGATGCTCCAGCCCCATCGGGGTTTCAGCCTGAACAGCTGACACATTTAGCTTCCTCGCTGCCCAGACAGCAAAAGCATGTACAGAACACTCCAAATCAGCCTGAGAGATATGCACCAGAAGGCCGAGCAAGTTTCAGCCATTTGCAACACGCGCAGACACCAAGCATACCTCAATTAGTATCTCCAGGAAATCAAAATGTACAGATACAAGGTAGCAATAGCCAACAAGAAGAAGAAACAGAGGCTAATCCACAGAAGCGTCTCCAAGCAACATTGCAGCTAGCAGCTGCACTTCTCCAGCAGATTCAACAAGCTAAACCGAGTTAAAGATGGCTTCGTAAAGAGATCGTTTCATGTTTTTAACTGTATTAATTGGGATGAGCCCTGGCCTGATCTACAGATTAACAAGTATGAGATTATTACATTCTTTCTTGCTGGTCGATATAAAGAAGAAATAGCGCTGATGCAAGCGTTCACAATATCGAGATTCACATGCCGTAATACATATAGGCAAAATCTTTCCAGATTCAGATTTTAAAATGTAGCCTCCTCACTTATATCGTTTTACCTTTTGCATGAAACAAATATACTACGTTACGTTGAATAGTAATAATCAATTTTCTCACTTGCTCTGCTATTCATTATCGTATTATCGTTACAACATGACGCAATTCTGCTACTTCAGAACAGATTTGTACCCTAACTACCATATAAGCTCATCAGTGGACACAATAAAAAGGATGAAAACACAATCCAAAAGAAACCAAAAGCTGAAAGGCAAATTTGTTTATTTTCTACTCAAAAGTTCAAAACAAAAACATAGGAGGCGGAGATGTAAGAAAAAAAACATATAAGGAGAATATAGGTCCGAAAAAAAATAAAACATGTAAAATATAGTGAGACTCTACAAGTCTAGTACTGACAAAAAAATAACAACACCTGAAATTGCTTTAGAAAAGCAGAGATCAACGGCTGAGATTTTGTCGTCAAGGTATCAATCGATTTTGACAGAGGAAAAGAGATAGTGGACGAAGTAAAAGGAGGTGAGGAAGCCAATGGTTCCCGTGGCGAGCATGATTGCAATTGCCATAAGCAGAGAGTAGCCAATGTAAAGCATAGCTGAGACAGGTCCGCTCAGACTTTGTAGATCGAATACCAAATAGTTGATGGAGTAAGCGAAAACGTACAATGCGACTGAACCAGATGCATAGAAGGCTTTCCACCACCACCTCCAATCTTCAACGCAGAGGTGCATATAGGTCAAGACCACTGATACTTCTGCACACACGACTACCAAAAGAAGCAGAACGATGAGTAAGAACCCAAATACGTAGTAGAATCTCCCTAACCATATGCTGGAGAAGATGAAGAACAGTTCTATGAACAGTGTTCCAAACGGAAGTGTTCCTGCTCCAAGGACTAGAAGCCATGACGGGTATTTCCGTTCTGGGATTTCCCTTGGAATCTGGTTGGTTCTCACTGGAAACTGAATTGCTTCTGCTCGTGTGCCTAGGAATCCTCCAAACAGGGTGAGAGGAACCGAGATGCAGAACCAGAGAGCCAGGAGCTCAAAGTACAATGAGATTGGGATGGCTCCAGTGCTGTTGCTGCTCCAGAGAAGGAAGTTCAACACTGTTAGTATAACAAAAGCAATACCCGGGAAGAAGCATGCGATGGACCAAGAAAGCGATCTCCATCCTTCTGAAGTTCCCTTGACGGTTCTCCAGAGCCGAACACCAGCGTACCCAGCAGCAATACCCAAGAAAAGATAGAGAATAATCATCCCGGTTAGTAACATTCCTCTTGAAGCAGGCGACATGAATCCAAGTGCTGCAAAAACAATCGTGACAACAGCCATTCCTGTAATCCGAACCCCATCTCCCACCATAATGCATAGAAGCTTTGACATTTCTGGTTCTCTGAACACATCTCCAACAACAAGTTTCCATCCAGAGAGCTCCTCATTCATCTGTGCCTGTGCTTCCTTGTCCAGTTCCTCATACTTTGTCAAATCCCTTCTCACTGTCCTTAGGAATATGACGAAAACTATACCGGCGAGAAAGAAGATCACCATAAGAGAGTTCAGAATAGAGAACCAATGAACACGAGCACCTTCCATTTTCAAATAGGCATCCCATCTGGATGGCCATCTTGTCTCACTCTTAACAAATTCGACTTCATAAGTGAAGGTTATTCTTTCATGTTCTTTTATAATCTGAGCTTTGTCAAGCTCCAAGGGACAGTTAACTGAAGGAACAGGGTCATACATGTGAAGTTTCGTCATTTTTACAGGATCATACTTAACACTGCAGGGAACAACCTCAAATCCAACAATCTCATAGCCCAGTGCCTTCTTTTTATCAGCTTCAGAGATCACACCCATACCTTCTTCACCGGTACCAATCACCTCCATGACATTGCCTTCATATTCATGAACCAAGACCTTAAACTTGAGGTGATTAATGATGTAATCATCATTGCTGTTTGGTGGCGAATACCCAACAGGATATCCAGTCCACTGGATAGTAACCCCATTTTGCTTAGCGAATCTCAAAGCAGGCAAGTTATCCAGAATCATATTCACTTGATACAACTCACGGGTTCTCTGTTTCAAGAGCTTGACCTCATGCTCATTGAGAGGACTGGTGGTGCATAGGTAGAGCGACTCGTTCGTCCTCATCCGAAACCTATAAGCAGAGTTATCAATCTGATCCCCCATGAGAAGCTCCCCAAGATTCTCAGCACTTTTCTTGATACCCTCAAGTGGTTTGCAGTAAGGAAGACTATAGTAACTGAAAGGAAGCTCAGTTTCAATAGACGTCAAAGAATTGACTTTAGCAAAGATAGAGTCTCCATCTGAATATGTGTGCATATAACTCCCTGGTAAGTAAAACCCATTGCAAAGCTGACTAACAAACACCAGCAACACGAAAACTCGGTACACACCAAACATTGTCCCTTCCTGTATCAAATAAAATTCACATTAGTAAATCCTTCCTATTGTAACAGATTCAAGCACATTCTGACGAAGAAATTGAAATCCAAACAGAACCTAAGAATATGCATGTAGATCAGATTCGTAGTAACCAGATTCGGAATTAGTGAATCAGATCGGTGGATCAAAAGATCAGATCTCAATGGATCATAAACACAAAACTCAGAAGCTAATTTATATAATTGGAACAAAGATTATCGAATACGAAAACGATGAACACCAAATTAAAAAAACGCGAGAGAAAAAGCAGATCTCGGAGTTTAGAGAGCAAACCTGAGACAGATCCAGGTATGGAGATCTACGACGGAGTCAGATCTAGAAGAGGTAGGAGAGGGACTTTGTGTTTCGAAATCGCTCTCTTGGTGAAGAAGAAGGTCACGCTGATAATCTCTCTCACTGCTTTGGTTGCTTAATGCGTTCGCAAAGAGAGCGAATAACGATAATCAAGAAAATCGTGGGTGTGTTGGGTATTTATCCTCTGCGACGCGCTTACACAATATGTCGGTGCAGTGGTCACAATAAAGAATCTCTAGATTTATACTAATAGTTTTAGAAAACTTTAAAAGAAATTAAGGCTAACTGACTACTTTTTTGAAACAAAACAAAGTTTAGGACCATATAATAATTTGAGATTATTAACAAAACGAGCATTTATGAGAAAAAACTTTACGGGACCATACTACAATTCTTTTTTTCTTAAATTAATCTCATTAACTTGAATTGGAAATTACAGTGTTATTTATAAGATATACAAATATAATCAAATATATAATATTATCAATAATGTTTAGAAAACGTTAGATGCTAAGCATGCGGTGATACAAAGCCTATACCACTTAAAACGTCTAATCGTAATCTAGGTGACATCAAGGAATTTGGACGTTTATTACATAAACATTATAAATATGATTTTATACATAAAAATTTATATAAAATATCTATTAGAAAAAGAAAATATTAAATTATAAACAAAAATTAAACAAAAAAATTATTAATTTATATTAAACAATATATACAAGCTTATAACTATATGTATGGAGTGACGCGAAAAAAAACAACTCAACCCTAATTTGCTCTCTTCTCTCTCCTCTCTTTCTCAAAACCAACTCAGCCGCCGCTTAAGTACGGCCAACGTCTGGTGGCTCCTTTAGCACCGGCGTTGTGCCTCTTTAGTATATTTTGTTGTTTTTTCTTGTTTCTTATGTTTGGATGTTGGTGGAGATGATTTTCTCGAGTGATTGGGATCTCTTGTCGAGATCGGAGATGGTGTTGCTCTCGTCGCAAATCTGTTGATGTTCTTGACTTCTCAATGGCACGACTCGATCTTTTCTCTCCATCAATTTCTTCTGGCCTGTTACTCGTCTGGTGGGTTTCTTCTTTGCGATGGGTTTTGCTTGTTCGTTAGGAGGAGGGAGTAGTTTTTGTCTTTGGACCGGCTTCCTTGTTCGAGGTTCGCGGCTGCTTTCTCCCAGGTGGGTTTTGGAGTCGTTTCTGGTTTGGTTTGGCTGCTCAATTGCTTCTCTTGTGAGGCTCGGTGGTGACTCCGGTCAGTTCGTGGTGCGAGATGGATGTGAATTTCAGATCTGGTTCTCTCACCTTCTCGGGTATGTTGCTCTGGTTGGCGGATTCTTCTCCTGATTGTTTTTGAATTCTCAGAGTCTTCTTTTTGTGGGGTTTTTGTCTGTTCTGTGGTTGGATCTTGTTTGAGTAAAGTTTCGGTTCTGGCCATTGTTTCTCTGCCTTGGTGTTGTGTTTTGTATCGAATGTCCTGGAAAATCTCTCGTGTGGTGAGACGGACTCGATGCCTTTTTGCCATTGGCTCTTTGCTCATCTTCTTTGGTTGGTTCTTCTGTCTCATCAAGATCTGCTTCGTTTGGAGTTCGTGGGTCGCTATTTTGCCATCATATGCGGTATCTCTTCCACTTGAGATTATCGTCTTCTCGGAGTTGGTTTGGAACGTTTAATACTACCCAAAGCTCTATCAATTCTTTCAGCAGAGAGAGGAGCTATTTATGGGTTTTGATTCGGTTCCTCTCCACAAAACAAATAAGGCATTTGTGCGTCGATCCCTTAGCTTCAAGTTCAGGCCTTTTCCTTTGAGATTCTTGTGATTTCTAGTTATTTCACTCATTGGAGGTTTATCGGTATGTTTTCTAAGTTTAGCTTATGGTCTTGTATTTGGTTGTTTGTTAGCTTCCCTCTTTTGGGCTATTGTCTTCGGGGATATCACTATTTTCCGCCGACTTATCTTATCGGGGATATTAACTCTTTCCGCCGATCTTTGTATCTTTCGAAGGTTTAACATGATTATTCAGACGAAAAAAAAAAAAACTATATGTATGGAGAAAAGCTTAGTCGGAAATTGCAAAAAAAACAGTAAAACAAGACCTAATTATAACTCAAATACTGTAGATTATAATGTTTTGTTCATCTTATTCAGTTACCATGATTTCTCACGTTATTGAAAAATAAATATATCTAAGAGCAGTAGCTAGATGGACAATTAATCAACAAAAAATTAATACAAATTTAGATGGAGAACTAGAAACGAAGGAAACCTAACGAAACGAATGAACACATGATCTAACAAAACAAATCAAATCCAGAGATGTAAAAGAGAGTACCAAAGATATTCTCTGTCATACAAAGTTGATGGATCTTCTCAAATCAATTGAAACCGAGAACTAAAGCAAGTGAACGATCTATGATGATGGAGGTGAGAAATGAGCGTGAGTGATGATGGATAAAGGTTTGTGTGATGTGTGACATCTCGCTCTTTGTTTGAGGCATACAATCATGTATTTATAGTATTTGGAGTCTTCATAGTCAGCTTTATGGTTCCTCCAAGTTGCAGAAGAAGAGTGTTGCCGTTTTGATCAAATGAGATGAGGAAAAGGTTGGCTACGGTCAAGGGGTAGTACATGTGGTAAGAGGGTTGTTGGCCACGGTCATGTAGCTTTTCTTGGGGTCGATGATGCTTTGGTCGCATGTACATGTTTTCTGGTTGCGGTAGCATGATAACTTTTCTAGCTTCATTTTTACATAAAACTTGTTTTGCAACACTTTGTATGATTTTTGCTTTTAAGTTTTTGTAAAGAATCTAGATAAAGATAATTTGGTTATATGATTTTTACGTTTAATAATTACTATAACAAAATTTCTCTTAAAACTAACTATTATCTAATTTCAATAGTAGAAGTTGTTACTATAAAATTTGTGAACTAAAAAACAAAAATAATTTTGGCTATTTTAAAAATATAAAAAATTAATTTTAATAATTTAAGATATTATGTGATAATTATATTTGACAAGACTATTAAATAAATTAACTTAAGTTTCCATCAATTTTCACAAAAGCACCTATACTATCGCTTTCTTATCAAATCAGCCCAAATGTTATTTTTGTCTGCAATTTATCCAGCCATATCCAGCAATTTATGTTACTTCCGTAAATTACAATATAAACCTAAAGTTCTGATACCTAAAAGAAAGACCCTTTTTGAAATTTGAACAAGCTATAAACCTGATACCACCAATCTCGATCTCTTAGGTTTCCGTTGAAGTCGTGAGAATCGTTTTGGCTTTGATCGGATACAATAGCAAGTATGAGTACTGTTCGTAAGAAAAGGGCTCGAATTTTATCCTCTGATTCGGTAATCTTCTTGCGTTCCTTTGTATACTTGACAAAGAATCGAAAATTCTCATCTTTTTGTTGACAATTTTGATACTTTGGTTTGGTAATTGTTTGCTTTGATAACTTTAAGCAGGACGACGTTGATCAAGGAAACCCTAAAACTCACGAGAATGGTGAAATTGGAGGAAAGAGTCAAAATTTAGGGAAAAGTAAGGGAGGTGATATTGAGAATGTTGTAAAGTCTAATACTTGTTTGGTGTGTGATGGGAAAGACAATTGGGTGTTGGTATGTTACGGAGAGGAATGTCCTATAGCTATTCATCAGAGTTGTGCATCTGATGAACCTGATTTCGATGAATTCGGCAATTTTTATTGTCCTTACTGTTGGTATAAGCGTGTTTTGCAACTAGAAAAGAAGCTTATGGTGAGTGACAAGTCTAGGAAGGGATGTAGAGAGAGTCTAGGAGGAGTAGATTTGGGTTTTATGATGGAGAATGAAGCTGGAGGTGTCGAGAATTTAGTGGAGGTTAATGTTTCAGGAGGTAGAACTAGAACATTAGCAAGTGGTAATCTTAGTGGGAATATAGGAGAAGGTGATGGATTAAACAGTAAATGCATGGTAATGGAAAAAAATCAGATAATGCAAGAAGTTGCGGCTCAGACTCATTCTCGGGGAAATTCTAAGGGTGATGATGCTGATGTGGATGAGGGAAGACAGCAGCAAGGAAGATTGAGTGAGATAAATCATGATACTTTGGATGTGTGCAATGTTAATGTGGGTGAGGGAAGAAAGGGGAAGGCAAGAGGTAGTGAGAAGAAGCATGGAAAGGTACAAGCGCGCAATTCTGATGTAGGTGAGGAAAGAAAGAAGCATAGAAGATGTGATGATATAAATCATGAAACAGCACAAGCGCACAGTATTGATGTGGTTGCCGAAACAAGAAACCCGAGGAGATACAGCGGAAAGAACCAGCAAACCAAAAGAGTTGCAGGAACTCTTGAGCAGGGCGTCTTTATTAACGATCATGGAACACAAGTGAGGGATTCTGATTTGGGTGAGGGAAGAAGCGGGCAAGGATGTTGCCATGGGAATTACCTGCAAAAGAAAGCGTCATCTACTGAAAGTTATGAGCAGGAAGTCCCTAGGACTGATAATAGAGTATCCTGTGGTTCTGGATTAAGGGCGGTAAGATATCGGCAGGGAAGACATATTGAGAAGAACCGGCATAATGAAATTGTTGTAACTGAAACTCAGGAGAAGGAAGTTTCTAAGGATGTGGAGAGAAAGTCGGAACGAGGAGTGGAGAGAGGAAGAAGGATAACAAGTGTTAATTGTAGTGGTAATAGAAGGGAAGTTGATGAATCAAACAAGAAATGCATGGTGATGGAGAAGAGTCATAAAATAAAAGAAGTTGCTGCTGATACTCATTCTCTGGAAAATTCTAAGGCTGATGATACTGATTTAGATAAGGGAAGAAAGCAGCGAGGAAGGTTTAATGAGAAGAATCACGAAACATTAGATGCGTTTGTTTCTAATCCGGATGAGGCGCATGAGGAAAGAAAGGGAAGGGCCAGGGGTAGTGAGAAAACCCATGAAAAAGTACAAGTGTGTAATTCTGACGTAGGTGGGGAAAGAAAGCCACAGAGGAGATGTGATGATATAAACCATGAAACAGCACAAGCGCACAGTTTTGTTGTGGGTGTCAAAACACGAGAGACGAGGAGATACAGTGAGAAGAACCAGCAAAACAAAATAGTTGCAGGAACTCATGAGCAGGCCGTCTTTATCAACGATAAAGGAACACAAGCGTGTGATTCTGATTTGGGTGAGGGAAGAAGTGGGCAAGAATATTTCCATGAGAACAACCAGCAAAAGAAAGTGTCATCAACTGAAAGATGTGAGCTCCCTAGGACCGATAAAAGAGTGTCACACGGTTGTGGATTAGGGGAGGGGAGAGATTGTGAGGGGAGACAAATTAAAAAGAACCAGCATACCGAAACTATTGAAACTGAAGCTCTGGGGAAGGAAGTGTTTAAGGATAGGAAGAGAAAGCGGGAACGAGGAGTGGAGAGAGATGTAGATGAGTTTTATTTGGCGGAGAATCAAGACAGACAATACCAACCTGATATGAGAAACGATGATGTGGCCTTCAATAAGCAAGCGACTTGTTTCAGCACAGATGAACAAGAAGATCGAAAGTCTGTATCGTCTATCTCATCTCCGGAGTCTACAAACAATGTTAAGGACCCTAATGTAGCTTCTCAAGAGTTAGCTTTGCTCATCCACCCTAAGGCTGGTGTACAAGAACGACCTATCGAAGCACGACCTATTTGCTCTGTCTCTTCACAGAAACCATCTTTTCAACCGGAAAAATACGGACACAAAAGTTACCTGAAGAAGAATGGAACTGCGTCTAATGATCCCGGACAAAGGTTTCTTTTCATTTGGAACTTCATGGCATTTCAATTGTCTTAGCGTAATGGATGTTTTTTTGGGAAGAGTCCTAAGCAGCTTGTCACGGGCTTTCAGCTAACAATTTTGCTTCCTTTCTATGAGCAGGAAGTTTGTCATATGCAGTGCTAAAAAAAGGAAAAGACAATTTTGGACGCAGGCAGAAGAAGATATGCTTAGGGTATGAAACTTGCACATTCCTCTCTATCCTACGTATATTTCATGCTGGAGTCGTCTTGATCTTTTAGTAATTGGAACTTACTCATTCTACGGCTTTTTTCTGAAGGTTTACACCTGTTTTAGATGATCAGCTTTATAAAAACTGCCAGGATAGCTGGTTTCATCGTCACCTAAGAGGCTGTATTTCATTTTCAGTCGTAATTCATCTGTTTTGCAGACCAGATTTTAAAAGAAGAGAATATTTCATGGTGTACTCATATCTCATTGTTTGTGACTGTCCAAATTAGAGTCTTGTTATGTAGTGCACAATGGTGATAAATGTGGGTCTGTTTCTCTTCGTCCTGTCCTTTAGGTTGGTGTGCAGAAATTCCCCGGCGAGAGGAATATTCCATGGCGCAAAATCTTGGAATTTGGTCGGGATGTGTTTCACGATGAACGGGCTCCAAGCGACCTCAAGGACAAGTGGAAGACGTTGAGCAAAATGCCTTCTGACACGCGGAAATGGGTAAACCTTTCATCTGAAAGACAACCGAATTACTATGTGTCTGAAGTTAGTTCTGAATGAGTTATCGGATTTTGCAAGCATTAGAGCTTAGAGGAGTAGTAGATAGGACTTTGCAGTTTTTGTACAACCTTGTTCATAGTTTGTTAATTGTATATTGTAGCAAAACTAATCTTACCTTTCTAATTATATGTCCTCGCCAATGTAGAGAATTTATAAGAGTAAGATGATTTTTCATGACACTTGAACACAAGTTTATACTAAAATCATAAGCAATGCTATACTTCAATAACTATCAAACTTTTACATGTCTTTTGATATGAAATCTCTGCAATTTGCAAGACGAAGATGAAGTAAACATCAATTTTACACTTCGTGTTCGTGTAAACAAACAACTTTTTTCCAATGCAAAAAAAAGATCTTTTTAGACGGAAAATGATGACGGTTGAAATTCCCGCCAGTGAGTGGGTTCCACTATAAGCTCTTTAGCCGCCATGTGTCCTAGGGGAGTGCCACGTACAACCACCATCGTCTACTTTTTAGGCTTATTTCGGTCGGCTTATTCTCTTCTCACTGAGTGGCAAGAAAAAAAGAAATGGAAGTTCCCAAAGGTTTCTTTGAGAAACTATGGAGTTTTGTCTCTTTTCTTCCGTACTTCTTCCTCTTGCTGCTTCTCGGCCTCACCAAGGGTATGTAATGTAACCATTCTTTTAAATATCTACTTCTAATCTTCGTCCCTCTGTTCCAAAAGATTGCAGAAAAGTCTCAAGTTTTGTTAGGTCCAGGTTCAGATTAGATTTTGGTTAATGGAATACTTTAGGAAACAGAGGAGTTTATTTGTAGAAAACCAGAGGAGTTTTAAGCAGAACACTGTTCAGTTCTCACTCTTTTTTATTCTTTTGTTTCTCAGCCTTGATTGTTGGTCCAATTTCATCTGCGATAATTTTGGTTGGGAATTCAGCTATCATCATTGGCCTTTGGCCAGCACATTTCATTTGGACCTACTACTGTTTGGCAAGGTATATAAACAACAAATTCAATACCTTTCCTTTTGTATTTTATCTCTGTTTCCACTAAAAATCTTCTTTGTGTAGAACAAAGAGAATAGGGCTGGTTTTGAAGACCTTGGCATTGATATTGTTTCCACTGCCTTTACTCCTCTGGCCAGTTACTGGTATAGTAGGAAGTCTCTTCGGTGGAATCGCCTACGGGTTTTTCACTCCTCTTATGGCTACATTCGAGGCTGTAGGAGAGTCTGTTACTAGCAAATGCTACCATTGCTTTGTTGATGGTTCGTTCTCCACTATTAAATGGAGTTGTACTGTAGTTACAGACTTCACAGATTTCTGCTTCCATTCTTACTTCTCCTACATGGATGAGTTAAGAGAAATGGTTTCCGCCGATGTTGAACCTTTAGAGATTAGGTAATAATCTCTCTCTTCGTCTGTGGCCGTTAAAGAAGAACAAAAATTGTTACACTTTACAGTGATGGTGTAATCTCATTTTCTTACCAGGTTGTCTCGGCTACCTAGTTGTCTGCTTGCTAGTCTCATAGGTGTGGTGGTAGATGTTCTTCTCATAACAGCTGTTGCTCTTTACAAAAGCCCATATATGTTGCTCAAAGGATGGAAGAGGCTATTGGAAGACCTTGTTGGTAGAGAGGGCCCATTCCTAGAGACTGTCTGTGTTCCATTTGCAGGGCTTGCCATAATGCTTTGGCCACTAGCTGTCGTGGGAGCCGTAATAGCTTCAGTGTTATCCAGTTTCTTTCTTGGACTGTACAGTGGAGTCATCGTTCATCAGGTTCATAGCTAATACTTAAAGTCCATTCATATATCTTACAGAGTTGGTTATGGAGATGTCCTTTCGATTTAAGGCTTCATTGGATTCTTTGTCCAAAGGATTTGAAATTAAACTGAATACTTCTTGAGCTCCTCTGGTTGTGATTTTTTGCTATTTGTGACATACTTAATGTAGCTTCGACAATAGTTCTGGCTATTTTGGATACTTTATGTTAGTTAAATTGCGGCTTAGCCATATATTTTGTAATTTATGTATCTGCCATGAAATTTCTTAAGACATGTCATCACTTGGACATAAAAATATGTTGCTAGACACTGATAATATATGGTCGGTTAGGAGGTCTCTATCCTTTAATAGTTTGATTATTTTTTCAGGAGGACTCTTTCAGAATGGGGCTTAACTATATAATTGCTGCGGTCTCACTGTTTGATGAGTATGTAAATGATTTACTCTATTTGAGAGAAGGAACTCGCCTGCCAAGGTACATAGTGGGAGCTCTGTTCCATTAGTATTTGATCACCTTCACATAGACCTTCGGTTTCGTGATTCAGCATTTGTTGATTATAATAACTTATGACTGTAAAGTGTATATGCTTGTGACAGCCAGGCCTTGCTATAGAACGAAGACAGAGACTGGTCATGGGAAAAGAATATTAGGAGAGAGTAAGAACGTTGATCTCAAGAGCAAAAGAAGCTGCTCCCTGGGTTCAAAGCTTGTTTCAGAACAGTCGAGGACACTGAAAAAAGCAATAACACTATATAAACCAGTTCAGGTATATTAGACCTTTATTTTCTTCATTTATTTGACTTTACAACATAATCTCTGATGAGTGAATGAACATCTTGTGTTTCTCTTTAAAGGTATGGGAATGGTTGTTTAAGTCGTGTGAGGTGAACGGGAGGATACTTCTTCGCGATGGCTTGATAGATGTGAAGGATGTAGAGGAATGTCTTGTCAATGGTAATTCTAAGAAGCTCTATATTAGACTACCCGCTTGGACCGTGTTACAATGTCTCCTTGCATCGGCTAAATCGAACTCCTCTGGATTGGTGATCAGTACGTATACTCAATATCTCTACACAAATCTCGTCAAAACTTTTTTCCCCAGCACGCGAATATTTGATTTTCTGGTGAATGTCTGGCAGCTGATGGCGTGGAGCTCACAGAACTAAACAGCCCAAGAGACAAAGTATTTGTGTGGCTCGTTGGGCCTTTATTGATAATGAAGGAGCAGATAAAGAACCTGAAGCTGACTGCGGATGAAGAGTTTTGTCTAAGGAAATTGGTAATGGTATGCAAAAATGAAAGAACCGAGGACTGGGATAGCACGGGGTTCCCGTCAACTGATACAGTAAAAAAGGCACAATTGCAAGCCATAATCAGAAGGTATGTTATCAAACATCAGCAGAAGTATTATCTTCTCTGCATCATTAAGTTGACCACATCTTCTTGGAATACTTTTCTCATGTTGTGAATGGGTTCCCATATGTTGACTTAGACCATTCTTCGTAGGAAGTGAGGCTTTTTGCAAAGTTTGGGATGAACATGTTCTGTATATACATTCACTGAGGCTAGTAATGTTCTTTCCATTGCAGGCTGCAAGGAATGGTGGCATCAATGTCTAGAATACCGACGTTTCGACGCAGATTCATGAACTTGGTTAAAGTGTTGTACATAGAAGCTCTTGAAATGGGTGTGTCAGGTAATCGAGCTGGTGGGATCCTCAAACCAAACAGCCACCAAACAGGAAATCTGGATCGGACTGAAACACCGGACATGGATGTTGTATAAGTAGTTATCGTATCTTATCTTTTTCCTTCTTCCTACGCCCCAGTCTTTCCTCTGGAAACTGTTATTTCAGTTGTATTTTAGGATTTGTTGTATATTATAAAGTGTTTTTTTTTTGTGTTTCTGGTTTGATACTTAAAATTTTCAACTTGCTCCATATAATTGTTGGTTGGTTTTACTTTGGTTTCAAACCGATGACAGTAACTGGCTTCTGATCCATCTAATTGTAAGGTTGATCATCCATACAATTTGTTGTGGTTGTATGCATTATATTAAACCGGTAGCTATAACCAGTAAAAGTAAGCATTTACATCATATCGGACAGCAAAAGTAAGTGTTTTGTGATACGAAATCAATTTATGTGTCAAGTTCATATTTTAATTTTTTTTATGTAACTATATTCTTTTATTAAATATTTTTATTTTCTAAAAATACATATTTGACTTTTCTAATACTAATTGCCAAACACATATCAATTTTATATTATTCTTTTTAAACAATTTTATTTTCTAATAATACATACTAGATTTTACCCCGCGGTGTCGATTTTTTTATAACTAAAATTTTTTTTAGCAAAATTTTAAGTTGTATTTGTTTTGTTAATATTTTTTATTTTGTTTAGTGTTTCTGATTTTATAATTAAATTTTGATTTTTAATTCTAAGATTTCATCCATAGTATATTGTTTAATATTAATATCGATCTAAACCCGTTGCACCATATAACCTTGTCCCGTAAAATTAAACATCATTTGTTATTTTTTTGAATAATTAATATTTTTATCCACTACGGGTCGCAGGTTCATGCGGATAAGCCCGTAGAGAGTTGCGAGTTTGCGTGTCGACCCGCCAAAAGAGAAGCTATCTTTTGAAACCTTTTGTTTTATTTAGAGGTTTTGAGAAAGTATCCCTAAAAAATAATTTTCATTATATGAAAAAAAAAAGAAGTAGAAGAAATTGTAATATCAACATTCCCGATTTTTACATCACTCGTTACTATTAATTTTTTTTTTTGCAGATAAAAATCAGAAGTTAACTAAGTCGAGATTTTTAAAAAGATTGTGTAGAGATTTTTGGTAAATTGTTGAGAACATATTTGATTTCAAAATCTTTACTTAAATAGATAAGGAAAGATTTTGTAGAGACTTTTGCTAAATATATGAGAAATGAATTTCATTTAAAATTTTTTACTTAAATAAAACAAATCTAAATAATTAATGCTAATGGCATGCCATTGTAAATACTTCTCAACTTTAGGATTTATTTGCTAATTATGATCCAAAAATGTATATATAGATTTTGAATATATACATTGGAATTTAATGCATTTAAACTACAAAAAAAAATACTTTTAAAAAAATTAAATTGTTATACAAACAAATATAATAAATGATATCCCTTAAACGAATTTCACTAATCTTCTAATAATTAAGCATAAGATAAAACAATATTGTTAATTTGTCAACAATCCAAATTTACAGAATTTAATTTGTATGATAAAATCAAGCACAACAACTTTGTAAATTTTAAATGTATGAAAAAATCATAGTAATTCAATCAAATATATATTCTAATATATTAAAAAATTTAATAAAATTAAATAACATAAAATTTATCCGTGTCATATATGGATCCTTACCTAATCGACCATGAATTGAGAGAATAACATCACATTGCTGAATATTCAAGTTACAACATTTTTGGATATTTTATAATGACGTTATTTACATTTTTACGCAATATTTAAAAAACTAATATAGAAAATCATCTAATATCTAGTCGTTTAGGCGTTACTTAGGCACTAGACGTTCTCACTACAAGGATTTTATTAAAATCACTAGATATAGGATCCGCGACTAGTGCGGAAGAAGGTTGATGGTCACAATTTTCTTTATAAGTAAAGAAATTGTTCAAGCTTTAAAAGGGTTGAATATTTTGTGTCTTTCAACAAATTTCTTTATATACGTATACATCAGTGTTTTCATGTCCGACCCGAACCTTTCGGTATGATCGGTTAATCTGCGATCCGTACAATTCTCTGATTTAGGTTTAGTGTTAATATCCGATAATTTTTTTTGCCATTAATCCGTAACCTGATGAACCGGTTGAACTGACCGGGTATCGGATAAAAAACAAATCATTTTGATTTTGAAATAAAATAAAAGATTTTAGATATTTTTTGTATTCACTATTCAGTTATTTTTAGAACTTTTTCAGTTGTTCATATTTACTATCCTACTATCTTAGTATATATTTTATGGTTTTAGTTGGACTCAAATCTTTTAATTATTTTATTATTATTAAGATTTCATATTGTAAAACATAGTATGATTATTTTAATTACATTAATGCAGATAATAAAAAGCTGATATATAAATTAATCAGTGGTAAACCCTACCAAAAAAAAAATTAATCAGTGGTAAAGGTGTCATTGGACTTATCAATGTTAACTAATTTACTAAACACTCATGAATTTAGCCTTTTGGGGACAAAATCACAAGTAGATAAGATACAACACGTGGACGATCAGTTCCATGTGGTGACTCACATATGATGCACCTATAATATGCCAACCACTAAATAAACTTTAATATATAAACATGTGAGCCAGTAAGAACTAAAAAATCATGTAATCCAATTATAAATAATATCACCGCTTTTGCTTATAAAATTTAAAGATTACAACCTAGTATCTTCTGGGCATTACATAAATACATAGTTTTGTTTTTGAAAAAAAAGTTTTGTTTTTGAAAAAAAGAACAACTCTCAATAGTGATGCAAAATTAATATACTGAATTTTGGTGTATTAATGGATTATTACATAATTTTCGGCGAATCATTTTGATTGGTTTTACCATATTATTTTTTGGGAGAATTGGAAATAAAGGAAATTTTTTGGACAAATGTCCATATATACTTTTATATGAAAATTTTGGTGAAATAGATTTTATAATAATTAAGATCTAAATTTACTCTCATTATTTCGAAAATTTAAATAACAAAATTCAAAAAAGTAAAAATTCCTAATATATTTACAAAATTTAGATATATTTGTGTAAACTCAAACCCTCTAGTTGAGAAGGAGACTTCTCCAAACCCTTAATTAAAACCTTTGTTTTCTTGGACTCAAAGGAAAAAAAGGAAAAAATCGAGCAAAATATGACACAATTTCGTGGACTCGAAAGGATGAATGTATAAAAGAAGATAGAAATAATTGGGGCATAAACCGATTAAACCTAAGGGTGTTATGCGATTTTAGTTTAATTTTTTTTTTATGTTTTCTAAACTCCGTAGATCGTAATCTAAAACACCAACATACTATTTAAAATTTAATATTTTATAAATATTTAGCTTTTTTAAAAAAAAGATTCACTTTCTATATTTAGAAATTCTAAAAATTTCAAAAATTAAAATCTATATTCTTTTAGAATATGTATTCTAAAATAATAAAACATTTTCTAACGTTTTTAGAACATAATGTAAATCGTAGAATACATTTTCAAACAAAAATTAGAACATAAAGGAAAGCGTAGAATACATGTTCATAAGTTTTAAGAAATTTGTAATTTGGGCTTTGAAATTTTTTAGAACAGAAAACTAGTATAAAAATCGTAGAATATGTACAAAAGTTTAGAATATAAACTCTGATATTCGTAGAACTCAAAGAAACGTATTCTAAGAATATTAGACGATATTTATCTATCAAAAAGTCAATTTGTTTTCAACTGAATCACCAAAATATTTTTTCAAATCATCTCTATTCTTGTATATCTATATGTTTTCCTGGTTTACTTTTTAAAAAACAGCTTAAAATATAGTTTAAAAATTTGTATACGGTTTAATTCGGTTTTTTAGTTAAACGGTTTAATTTTACCGGAAATGTTAAATTTTATAACGTTTTAAAACTTTTAAATATTATAAGTGATATATTTAAAATCAATAAAAATGTTTATAATATTATGAACATTTGAACGTATAAAAAATAAAATAACATGGGACGGGTTATATTGCGGGACGGTGTTATATGGCTGGACGTGCTTGAATCAATATTAATAAAAATTTAAAATATCGAATCAGTTTGATTTAGATAAGATTGTGTAAAACAAAAATTGTTGTCTAACATACAATTAGTTAATAACAATTGTAAGGTATAAAATATAAATGTCTTACCAAATGATACAATTTAAAATATTTTATATATAATACATAATCTATAAATTTTTAAAATTATTACTTTTATAAATAAATTGTCATACGGTGCACCGCGGGTTATAATCTAGTATACTAATGTAAAAACAGAAATAAGGTTTGTCAAAAACCCAAAAGTAAGAAACTTATTTTATGTGTTTCTATCAAAAGGCAAACATGACGTTTTTATATACCTGATATAAATTTCACCTATAAGAGTTTACATAAACAATAAAGAAAAACTCTTTGACAAAAACAAAATTCCAGGAAACCTACCAATATGGCAAATTAGCAATATGCAAAAAGTAATATATATGATTTCATTAACATGTTTTTAAGTTTCCATTAAAACACTTGAATAATTCATACGACTATTTATTTTTTTGAAAATCTCTTAAAAACAAATCAGAGAAAGCAAAAAATTAGTTTCTTCTGTACTGACACATGACCTAATAATCTTCTGCAAAATTTGAGACTGTACAAACGTTTGCTCTCCATAAATCCATGTGCAATTTAATGAACCAAAACAAATATAATGAGACATCAATTATATATTTATTTTACTCTTTACTCTTAGCTCTTGGCAATAAGAAGAAGAAGAAGAAATAAATAATAAGAAATTACCTAAGGATATTGTTGTATTTTGTATTTTGTATTTTTTTAAGTAAACGACAACTGGGGACAAAACCAACTGGACATTTTTTTTTTGCTTTTATAAAATTTAAATAAAATAAAATTGAAGAAGAACAACTGGAAAAATGACAAAAAAAAATTATTATTTGTTTTTGATAATGCAATGCTCCTCTTCCTTGAAGATCCTTGCGCGTCTTCATGATTACATGGATGTTTCTTCTCCTTCTTTCTTCTCTCTCTTTCTCTCAAATTTTAATCTCCAGATATTTTTGACTCAGGGATCAACAAAACCCAGTTTTTGAATTTGTTTTTTCTCTTTTCAAATTACTCTGTTTTGAGATCTCTGTTTTGTAAGGCTTCGTAGAATTATGTCTTTGAGATCGGAATCTTCAACGGCAGAGAAGATAACAGAGGATCCGGTGACGTATAAGACGGCACAAAGCAGTGTGACGTGCATCTACCAAGCACACATGGTTGGATTCTGGAGAAACGTTAGGGTTCTTTGGTCTAAAAATCTCATGAACCATTCCTTAACCGTGATGGTCACTAGCGTACAAGGCGATATGAATTACTGTTGCAAGGTTGATCTTAAGCCATGGCACTTTTGGAACAAGAAAGGATACAAATCGTTTGAGGTCGAAGGAAACCAAGTAGATGTGTATTGGGATTTTAGGTCTGCTAAATTCAACGGCGGGCCTGAGCCGAGCTCGGATTTTTACGTGGCGCTTGTATCGGAGGAGGAGGTTGTTTTGTTGTTGGGTGATCACAAGAAGAAAGCTTTTAAGAGAACTAAATCTAGACCTTCTTTGGTTGACGCTGCCTTGTTCTACAAGAAAGAGAATGTGTTTGGGAAGAAGAGTTTTTCGACTAGGGCTAAGTTCCATGATAGGAAGAGAGAGCATGAGATCGTTGTGGAGAGCTCCATGGTGGCGAAGGAACCAGAGATGTGGATTAGCGTAGATGGGATCGTTTTGGTTCAGGTGAGAAATCTGCAGTGGAAATTCAGAGGGAATCAGACGGTTTTGGTTGATAAAGAACCTGTTCAGGTGTTTTGGGATGTGTATGATTGGTTGTTCAGCACGCCCGGTACAGGTCACGGCTTGTTCATCTTTAAACCGGAGAGCGGTGAAAGCGAAACGAGCAATGGAACCAAAGATAGTAGTGTTTCTTCTTCGTCTGATTTTTGTCTATTCCTTTATGCTTGGAAATTGGAGTAAGTCTAAATGTTTTCAATCCAAAAGCTTGCATTCTTTTTTTACCTGACTGTAAATTTACATTCAACATCAATCTTAGTGTGTGACCGACTCTTGATAATTTGAGTAGTCAAATTCACCAAGACGTGTAAAGGGCTTGTTCTCTGAGACAGGCTGTTTTCCCCCCACGACTGATTACTGCCGTTTGTGTGTGCTTAACACTGACCTAGACCTTTTCTTAACCAACTCGGAAGAAGATTTGATTAAGATGAAAATATTGTATGATTGCTTCGCTTTAGAATCTTTGTGTAAACACAAAAATTCTTGTCAGCGTGAGATTATTTACATGTTTTTATCTGAGTGCATTCTATTACTACTTGAATGGCTCTGCTCAACATAGTAGACTCAGCGATTGTCAAAAGAAAACCGTTAAGGAAACATTGCGATAAATGAAGACTTTCCTGCTCTCGTGACTACGTTTCTGATACACTTATCTCTCTTGATCGAAGAAAAGCTCTGTTCGATCCTCAAAAATGTGAGGAACGAAACAGGAGAGGCCAAAACTACCAACTGCCCGAGTAGTAGCCGCCAAGGACATCACTGTCTATAGGATATGGTGTTGTAAAATATCCCACATTGGTTAGGAATGGGACACACTAATGCCTAATAAAGTCACATGGATACACTCACTCACTCATAACCTAACTTACCTATGAGAGTTATTGGACATGGTTAAGAGCCTAGTATGGGATAGGTTCAGTTTCTATTAATAACCACAATTAGGATATAAGACAATTGAAATGACATCTATAATTTTCAATCGGAATCTCACGAGTTGAGATAAGTCTAAGAAAAATCCATCAACTCAGCAACTAACAAAGAAACTCAACCTAAAACACCAAAGTCTATGCTAGTGACATTTCAAAAAAAGAACGAAGATGTATAGAGGTAAATACTAGTAGTTTAGAAGAAACGATACATTAGTTATGGAACATACAAAGCTATGCTACAAGTACCAAAGTGGAAACAAGTGGAACAAGATGGTTCAACTTTTCTATCAACCTACAAACAAACAACCGTCTCTGATAACAAGCTTTTGATATGCTTACCTGAGAGATCAGCTTGCTGCTACGTTGCAAGTGCCGATTCCGTCTCTACAGTCATTGGTAAGATCATTGAATGTTTCAATCTGCTTCTTCCCTCTCAAGAACACTTCTGTATCAACAGACGCTCTCATGTAACCGTCAAAATCGACTGGGTTTCCTCCATTAAGCTTCATGGTCTCTGAATACCATTCGCTGCTCTCGTCCCAGAGATCCTTAAACTCATCCAGAAGATGGGTTTTGTACTTGTCTTTCAAGGGGTTAAAGAAAGTTACCTCTGGTTCATTTGTTGCAATATAAAGATTCCTTCCTTGCTCGATTTTGTCCTGCAGGGTAGATAAAATGGAGCTTGGTGAAGTATCCTTTTCCAGATTAGGCCAACCTTCCTTGTTTCTTGCCTTGTCTCCTCTCTCAATGTGAATAGCATCATAATCCCAGTTTAACCTCGAAGCAATCGCAGAAACAATCTCCATCAGCCGTCTAGATTTCCACAACAGATGCCAAGGCCTTTGCACAACAGATTCAGTCTCTCCTTCACAAACTCTGTACCAATAGTTATCTGGTTCTACCGTCCCGAACTTCCTCATTATCAACGTGTCCTTTACATCAACAAGCTTCATCGGTGTGACCCGAAAGTCTTCCACAAGATGAAGCTTTAATCCATTCTTCTTATACCATTTCCCCCAATCTGCCCAAAACTGCACCTGGTCTAACACAGAAGCAGCCTCTTTCAAATGCTCGAAATCAAAGTAAAACCTGAAATCCTTCCCTTCCTCGTTTTGACCAGACGACGTATAAACCGAAGACAAACAAAGACTCAAATCCATCACTAAAGTCCTATTCAAATACTGAGCTTCCCCCAAAGCACACAAGAAACTCCACAAGAAATGGTTCATACTCTTACACCTATCTCCTCCACCCGAATAAACCAAGTAGTGACCTTCCTTAAACGCATTCTCAGACTCAACCACAGGAAGTGAATCATTCACTGCTTCACCAACCACAGGCAATGAGAAATCATCAACCTTACCACCACTCGAATTCCGAAACCCGGGCCTCTTCCGCTTCCTCGCATTCACACCCGAATGATATTCACCAATCCCCATCACACTAACACTACAATTCTCAGACTTTGCAATCACAAACCTCCTATAATCCTTATAAAACGCAGCCGTTTTACCATCCTTAGGTCTATAACGCCAAGCCATATCACAAGAACTAGTACCTTCCACAGTCACAGGTTTACCAAACTTGTAAAAGTGAATGTCTTTAAACTTCTCCATAGTAGCTTTCATCATCAAGTGAAAAACTTCAGGATCTTTGCAATCGATTGGGACATTGGAATCACAATCCAATTGATTAGCATCAGAATCATTCTCAGATGTTTCCACATCAGCTATGTTGATGAATCCAGCAAACGCGGTTTGGTTCGCCGCCATGAAATCTTCACCGGTTTTAACAACACTGTCGTCGGATTTAAGAGTAGCGTTTGAATTGGATGAGAGGAAAGTTGTGATTTTGTCAGATGGGTGAAAAAGTGGATCTTCTGGTTCATATGTAGCAGCGATAATGGTGAAAACTACGACTCCGATTACGAATATAGAGAAGCCTATGCTTCCGATTAAGCTTACAGCGTTTTGCCCTAGATTCTCTGGTCGGAAACCTCCGGTTCTGGATCTTCCTAACATCTTTGTCTTCAAGATTCTTGTATTTAGCGTAATACGATGAATGTCATTCTCAGAGATTAGAGACAGTACTAAGAGTTATGAGTTATGACCATGTCAAAGCGGAGGAAACGAAGAGCTTATGACATTTTCTTGTAATATGTGTATGTTTTTTTAATGTGTTAAAACAACATGCTTACACGTGTACATGTGGAGCGACTCTACTTGCGTCGTCATCGACAATGGCAACATTTCGTTAAAATATTAATAGTTACTCTTTTGTTGATAGTTATTTTTCGGTTTTGTATTTTGTTTATCGCAACTCCGTTAAAATATTGGCGTTTACTTTTTTTGTTTTTGTCTTTTTATCACAATTTTTCGTTAAAATATTGACAGTTATTTTTTCGTTTGTGTCTTTTTATCGTAATTTTTTGTTAAATATCGACGGTTATTTTTCTTGGCTCTTTTTCGCAATTATTCGTTAAAATATTGACGGTTACTTTTTTGTTGATGGTTATTTTTTTTGTTGTGTCTTTTTATCGCAACTTTCCGTTAAAATATTGACGGTTACTTTTTCGTTTGTGTCTTTTTATTGCAACTTTCCATTAAAACATTGACAGTTATTTTTTCTCGATTGTGTCTTTTTATCGAAAGTTTTCGTTAAAATATTAACGGTTACTTTTTTTATTGACGGTTATTTTTTCAGTTGTGTCTTTTTATCCTAACTTTCCGTTAAAATATTGACGGTTACTTTTTCCGTTTGTCTTTTTATCGCAACTTTTAGTTAAAATATTGACGGTTATTTTTTCTCGGTTGTGTCTTTTATCGCAACTTTCCGCTAAAATATTGACGGTTATTTTCTCGGTTGTGTCTTTTTTATTGCAACTCTTCGTTAAAATATTGACGGTTACTTTTTTGTTGACGGTTATTTTTTCGGTTGTGTCTTTTTATTGCTACTTTTTGTTAAAAAATTGACGGTTATTTTTTTGTTTGTTTCTTTTTACCGTAAATTTCAGTTAAAATATTGACGGTTATTTTTTCTATGTTATATCTTTTTATCGCGTCTTTTCTTTAAAATATTAACGGTTAATTTTTTGGGACAGTTCTATTTTCAATTATAGCTGTATTTTTCAGTTTACGGTTGTGTGTTTATAATTGTATTCATTCATTTAAAGGTACGTCTCTTCACTATATTTTATTGTATCTTTTCGTCAAAATTTTTTGTATGATTAATTGTCTATTTAAATGATCGTAACTTTTGAACTCTATATATTTGTCATTCTTCCTAAGTAATTTCCAAATTTTTGTTCTTTAATTTAACATAGATTATTTGTTTTATGATGAATCTAAAAAAAAATAATCTATAAAATGGCACCAAATTCTTTATTCTCTAAACTATTTCTAAACATACATCATTTTTAATATTAAAGAAATTTTTCTCATTTTTGATCTAACGAAAGATTTTTGGAATGATTATAAAAATAGAGAAGTTTTAATCAACTTTAAATATAAAATTTTAATGAAGATACCAACAATTTTTTTTAGAATTGGACGGATTATATAGTGAATTTTTTTACATAACTATTTTATATTGTAACAATGATGCTTTCTATCTTAAAGTAATATATATATGGGTTGTATACAATGAAAAATTGATGCTGCATTAACATTATTACAAAGTCTGAATATGAGAAGACATCCTCATGTAACGCTTGTGATTGGGCGTCTTAAATGTGATAAGCGTCAAATGAACCGTTTCAAATGGTATAGTAATCCAGAAATCATCTCCATCATTAAGAAAAAAGCAATGATTCGAATTCGTCACATGAATATTCAAGAAAGAAGTTTTTTTACTCAGTTAATTTATCAATATATATAAATATAAATTTATGAGATCTTGTAAATTTTTATTTGTTTGTTATAGATGTAATTTATGTCATCAAATTTTATATTTTTTGAATATATATATATATATATAATAGAAGAAATATTAATTTTATATTTAAAAAACAGTGGGTAAACAAAAAACACCAATTTCCAGGCGAAGTTCTTAGTCACCCACAAATCGTGCTGAGTACTAACTCCATCCGAATTTTTGTGTTTTGACCCGCTATAATTTCTCATCTCTATATTACAACTCTTCGTTATGTATTTTGTCACTTATAAATAATTTTACATTCATAAAAAATATTTCAAAAGTGTTTTTAGTCATAATTCTTCTTTTTTTTTACATTTTTATTCATAAATTGTTTTAACATCTTTATAAAATATTTACTATATAACTTTAAAACATAGGTAATTTTGTGTAATAATTCAAATATTTGAATATATTATCATAATAATCTACTATACATAAACGCAATCAAATATATTTTTGTAAATTTAATACATAAATACAAAAATTTGTTGAAAATGAGTTCCCCCGCGACATCGCGGGGGCTCATAACCTAGTTCTTATAAAAATTAAATGAATAATTACCTTAAATTCTAAGAACCAGCTTTTATATAAGAGCCAAAGAACAGTTCTTAACATTAATTCTTAGCATTTCTTTTTCTTCTTTTTTTTGAGAATATCTCTCGAATCCATGATAATCCAAAAAATTTAACCCAATCTCGAACCCGGAAATTTAGATTTACCCTATTGAGTCCTAAACTCATATACCTAAAAACCCGAACCCGAAACGAATATACCCGAATGTTTATTCGAAAACTCGAAATTTTACTAGAACTTTGAATTTTTAACCGAAAACCCAAATATTTATCCGAAAAATCGGGTATTTACCCAAAAACTCGTCTATTTACCTAAAAACCCGACAATTTACCAGAACATTTATATAGAGAGTATTTAGCGGTTCTGTACCCGAACTGACCCGAATCACAAAAGACCCAAACGGAAACCGAACCAATTTTTTATTTTCCTTATTGGATCCTAAACTCCTCTACCCGAAAGACCCGTACCCGATTTTTTTTATTTTATGAATTGCAATAATTATTAAGTTTTCTAAAATTAAAATTGTTTATTTTTTTTTCTTAAATTAATATTTTTCTTTCTCTAAGAACCACAACTTAAAAATCTACCATCAGAGACAAATAAAATTTAAAACCAAGAAACAACTTCTTAAGTCTAAAATTTTAAAACTTAATATTAAAACTAATCCTAAGAGCTAACAATGACGTTGCTCTTATACTTTAGTGTAGCAACTCCCCCGAATTTCTTATTCCAAAACATATATTTTATTTACTAAAACATCATTATTAATTAATTTGTGGTTGTCAAAAAAGAAAAAAAAAACATCATTATTAATTTTCAATCAACATAATTCAATTATTTCAAAATATTTAATTAAAACATCAGATTTTGTTTAGCAAACCCATAATATATTTTGTTAAATTTTGATTACTGTTTTTTATCAGAATTTAACCCGATTTGATCCTATTCAATATTGACGAAAATAAAATGCTTTTTTAAAAAAAACAAATGAAATATATTATTTTAAAAGATTAGTAACGTTAGATCGTTTTTTTTTTTTTTTGCATCTTTCCTTTTACACACTATTTGTTAGTGGTAGATCGAATTCTCAAAAAACAATTATCAACATTTTATAGATAATGCAACAAAATAAAAAATGCACTAGATTTATATTCGTATAGACAGATTCAAAATTTAATTCAAGCCGATTAAAATTCAGCGAATTTTGATGTTTGAATTTGTCAGCAAAGTTCAAGCCGAATAAAATTCAAAAATATAAAATTATCGATCCAATATAGATGTAAAAAATGAGAAGACAACGGGAAATGGAGTAGAAGTGAGTTGAAACAAAGCGGAATCGAGCATATATTTAGAATCCAGTTAACCAAATTAAAGGTGCTTTAATTTAATATGTTTCATGTTTTGTTTTTCTTTCTCAATCGTATATTCTCTCCGTTTCATATTAAATCTTGTTTTAGACTTAAAATTTTGTTCCAACTTGAGTATCGTTTTGTATTTTCAATCTAGTCCATAAACGAAAGCCATCACTTTTGGCAAATGAGTTGCTTGTGTAGTTTTTCGCACGCACTAACAAATAGTCTCACATCGATTAAGTCAATGAATAATTTTTCGTGATATTTATGTAGAAGTCGACGAGTCTATTGTTTGCTTGGCCTGATATTTATTTATGTAGAAGTCGACGAGTCTATTGTTTGCATTTGTAGTTTTTGGCACTGTTGATTAATTCGCGTACAGATGTCACCTTGGCAATAATTCAGATTCAGATATCATTGACACTTTCCCTTAGAATTGATGTCATAGTTAGCTCAACGACGTCATTTTGTGGGTTTGTTCATTTTTCCAATAGTTGCGGTAGTTAGAAACCATTTTAATGTGCTTAGTGTAATAGGAAATCCATTTTTCTCCGGTCATTCCTACTCTCTTTCATTTAAACTGGTAACAAACAAAGACCAAGAATACCAAACTTCAAAAACCAAAATGCCGAATCAATTTGAAACGAGACTGTATGAAAAGCATGAGGAAGGGTTCTGATATACACATGACCCATAGCCAAAAGTATGTACAAAAGGGAAAGAAAAATTCAGCCTTTAAAACTTACCAAATGGTTTTTCTCCCAACTCCGGAGAGGTAAGAGGACTAGACCTAAACCTGGCTCTGATTCTTGAATTTTTCCAGATCAGAACAAAAAAACCTACAAATCTCGTAATGCAACCTTCTTTGCTTCTACGGTATCAATACTATTACCACTATGATCGTTAGCTATTCGATTTGGAAGAGATATCAGCCTTGTGCTGGATGCTTTTCATGCTCAGCTCCATGCTTCTATGAACCATGTCCTGCAACAGTTTCTTAGCCGTTTCAGCAGCTTTTTCTGCCCCGTCAACTTGTACTGCAATGCCATAGACAATTTTCTCTAGTATTAATGGAGCCATTTCTTTCTCACGAGGGGTTTCTCTCAGTAGGTCCAAGAGAACTCTGGCTCTATCTCGGGACTTTGATGTTCCATCAACTGTTGAACTTAGGAGACCCGGGATTGCACCTTCTTTTAGTATGA